TCTCAGCTTCCAGCTCCACAGATACTCTGCGTACTAAAGTTGTACTACAAAGTCGCCAGCTCTCATCTTCCAGCTCCGCAGATACTCCGTGTACTAAAGATGTACTACAAAGTCGCCAGTTCTCAGCTTCCAGCTCCACAGATGCTGTGCCTGCCACGAAATCTGCACATGGAGGTTCACAAAGTGCTGTGCCTGCCACGAAATCTGCACCCCGAGGTTCACAAAGCGCTGTGCCTGCCACGAAATCTGCGCATGGAGGTTCACAAAGCGCTGCGCCTGCCACGAAATCTGCACATGGAGGTTCACAAAGCGCTGCGTTTGCCACAAAATCTGCAAAGTGCTGTGCCTGCCACGAAATCTGCACCTCGAGGTTCACACAGTGCTGCGCCTGCCACGCAATCTGCACATGGAGGTTCACACAGTGCTGCGCCTGCTACGAAATCTGCACATGGAGGTTCACGAAGTGCTGTGCCTGCCACGAAATCTGCACCTCGAGGTTCACAAAGTGCTGTGCTCGCCACGAAATCTGCACATGGAGGTTCACAAAGTGCTGCACCTGTTACGAAATCTGCGCATGGAGGTTCACAAAGTGCAGTGCCTGCCACGAAATCTGCACTTGGACGTTCACACAGCGCTGTGCCTGCCACGAAATCTGCACATGGAGGTTCACAAAGTGCTGTGCCTGCCACGAAATCTGCACATGGAGGTTCACACAGCGCTGTGCCTGCCACGAAATCTGCACATGGAGGTTCGCAAAGTGCTGCGCTTGCCACGAAATCTGCGCATGGAGGTTCACAAATGTGCTGCGCCCAACGAAATCTGCGCGTGGAGGTTCACAAAGTGCTGCGCCTGCCACGACATCTGCGTGTCAAGAAACAAGTGAAAACTCTAATCGCAATGGAGGGACGATTCCGAGAATGATCCGACCATGATCATCCGACCATGATCCGACTATGACCCGAGACCGTCTCGCAGCTGTCGTTCCGCGGAGCTTCCCCGTCGAGGTTCGGAGCAGCATGGAGGTTCACAAAGTGCTGCGCCTGCCACGAACTCTGCGCATGGAGGTCAGTACTGCGCCTGCCACGCAATCTGCGCGTGGAGGTTCACAAAGTGCTTCGCCTGCCACGAAATCTGCACATGGAGGTTCACAACGCGCTGCGCCTGCCACGAAATCTGCACATGGAGGTTCACAAACGCTGCGCCTGCCACGAAATCTGCGCATGGAGATTCCCAAAGTGCTGCGCCTGCCACGAAATCTGCACATGGAGGTTCACAAATTAAAGCGCTGTGCCTGCCACGAAATCTGCGCATGGAGGTTCAAAAAGTGCTGCGCTTGCCACGAAATCTGCGCATGGAGCTTCACAAATGCGCTGCGAATGCCACGTAATCTGCACGTGGAGGTTCACAAAGTGCTGTGCCTGCCACGACATCTGGGCGCCAAGAAACTAAGTGAAAACTCTAATCACAATGGAGGGACGATTCCGAGAATGATCCGACCATGATCCGACCATGACCCGAGACCGTCTCGCAACCGTCGTTCCGTGGAGCTTCCCCGTCGAGGTTCGGCCACGAAATCTGCACATGGAGGTTCACAAAGTGCTGCGCCTGCCACAAAATCTGCACATGGAGGTTCACAAAGCGCTGCGCCTGCCACGAAATCTGCGCATGGAGGTTCACAAAGTGCTGC